GCTGGCAGCACGCTTACATTTTGAGGCGCACAAATTTTGAAATTTTTCGCTGAACGTTGCAGAACAGCAAAAGCTGTTACACCGCTTCTTTCTCTTCTCATTTTTCACTCTTTACCAATTTACCATTGTAATGTGAGTGCTCGTCTCACTTTTCTTTGCGCTATCACAATTTGAGGCGCAACGGTACTGGCTGGCGTATACGTAACACTTATGTTAGCCTGATGGAAAAATGCCGTTTAGTTGGAAATTGCTTCAGAAAGCAGGACAAGTACACACATACATTCACCCATACACATGTAGTACTTGCATTCACATGTACAATCGTAACATTTACTCTCAGCACTTTGCTCTGACCACACTGTTTGTTAAATCGCCAAAATGCTAGAATCAAAGAGCATTCCTTTACATAGTTCACGAACGCTTCTATTTGGCGGCCACAAGTCAATAAAAGTAAGTCAACCAACCACTTTAAAAGGTACCTGGTTATTTTTTTTTTTTTTTGAAATTTAGCATTTTTGGGCATTTGGCTTGTTTATCGCTCATCTTTTGAAATATGCTGGCAAATTCTGCAGCTTCGATGTACATATGGAAGAGCTTCACAAAAACGCTTACTAAACGTGAATTAATGAAGCTATTTTTTTTTTTATTACGTAATTTACGTAAGTGGTTGGTACCTACGTCAAAAACGTCACGAATTAACGCCGGTTTTGCAATCGCTTGAAACTTGCACTTTATTATACTAAAATTTAATGCGCTTTAAAACTGCATACTCAAGAAAATTCTAAAAAAAAAAAATTTAAAAAATTTGTAAATTTCTAATGTACTCATTTTACTCAACTTCGGTGTAACAAAAAATTCATAACTCAAATTATTGTAGAGTGCATCCCATAATACTATACTTAAATATTGCGCAATACTCAGAGCTGCCATTGTGATTTTTTTAAAATTTTTTTTTTTTTGAGATGGCATATTTTGATAAACTAATTTTTTTATTTTATTTTTATTTTTAAATTTTATTTTTATTTTTATATATTTTTTTTTATAGAAAATTTTGATGTATGTATGTGTGATTTTTTTCAATTTTTTTTTTTGCTCGCCCCGTTCTCGAGATAATTGAAAAAATATTTAATCGATTTGTTTTTGTTTTCGTGCTGCTCAAATTTCATATTTACTTATTATTTTTGTTTATGCATCAACCCTAAAAATTTGACACAAATCAAATACATGAAGTGTAAACTCCGTCCGTTTTGGTATGGAACGCCCCATATAGTACATATAGATTACACTAACAAAAACCTGGACGCCAACCTATAGAGGTATCAAAATAAATATGTGAAGCTGTAATGTGGAAAAAAAAAAACAGATAAGCGCAAACTTTTGAAGGGCGTGAAATTTCTGTGCTTTTAAACTCAACGATGTTACGCAAAAACAAAAGTGAATTTTAAGCCAACGAGATTAATTTCTGAAAAAAAAACAAAAACAAAAACAAAAACCAAGCACATGCTGCTACACAATGGCGCCAGTATCAGCTTGTAATGATGAAACTTTAGTTTGCAAACGAGGCTGGTGTAAACAGATGGCAGTAATAGCACCTCTACGAGATATGTACATACATAGTCCAGTCCAGCCGAGGCAGTAATGCTTGTGTTGAAAATTTTAAAAACAATACGCTTTTATTTATTTTCTCTGCTTTTAAAGTGTTGTTAAAATATTTATGCCTGTAAAGTTGAAATTTATTTTTTTTGACCACTCTTAAAGTTCGGCCATTAATTTTAACTACCAAAAATACATATATACACATAAAAATATAAACATAGGCAGGTATTTAGAAGGTCGAAAGCAGGTTTGAGCGAAAGGGAATTGACCGCAAAATGTCTTGAATGTGGCCATAAATACGCTAACTGCTTCAAAAAGATGTGCAAGAGTGTGTTTTTTGTATGTGGCCCTAATTGCTGTATGCCAAGGAAAGAAATATTTTTGGGAAAATGACTGAACGCAAAAATATATACATCCTTGCGGTTTGTTACACCTTGTTACATATAAACGCATACATAGTTACTTGCATAATCTCCGGCGCTCCACACGCAGCCAAGCCTTCATACATCTACTACAGTTAGATACATATTTTACAGTTTACCAACTGCACACTCATATATCTGTACATATGTTTGCTGGTGCAGGCTATTAAAAAGCTATCAAAGTACAAATAGATTTTATAATTTTTTTCAAATACAAAGAAGGAAGTATGTATATGCTAGGCATTACATTTTTAGAACTTACGCGTGTGTTTTAGCCGAGTGTTTTTAGTTATACATAAATGTGTACATTTGTATGTAAGTATGTACATACGGTGTTGAAGGCATATGTAGATAGAAAAGACACATTTCTTAGCAAGTTTTGGGTAGTCTTCTTGGTTTAAAAATTGTTTGTTTTTTTATGAACATTAACTTTGTAGCGTTACAAAAATTCGATGAATTTTAACAAATGTTCATAAAAATTTTTAACTTTTAATAAATTTTTTATTTTTTTTTGAGTAGATATGCAGTTTTGTTGCTCATTAAATTTTAGTGTAACAAAATGTAAGTTTGAAGTAGCTAACTAGGACTTACCGTTGACAACTGCTGGACAACTTTTTTGTATGGGGTAAGTTCAAGCGGCTTCAAAAATGCATTTTGTTATACTCTAAGATTGATTAGGCTACGAAACTGCGCACTCAGAATGTTTCTAAGAAATCTAATAAGAAAGTTACAAATTTCGATGAATTTTTGTACAAAGTTTGAAATTTTGACTTACATGGTTTTTGTTAGATATTTAGTGAGCTACACTTTCATACAAAAGTAATAAACCTTAAACGAGCGAAATTGAAATACCAAAGAAGGCTAAAACTTCCTGTAAAATGGCTGGTCTGCTGTGTAATTAGCATAGTTTAGCCGTCTAAATAGTTAATTCCATACTACTTAGGTCGGAAATGGAAGTCTCAGGTAAACATAACCAACTTCTATTACTCTGGATGCTAGGCCGTCTGGTTAAGAGATATCTGAACTATCTGTTAGGTAAGACTCAGACGAGTTGTTCTTCGACCCGCAACCAAATAAAGCACTTTGACCAAAATTTGGTGCAATTCGAATCCCATTTGTGTCGGCTATCGTAGCCAACATCAGCAACTTTACGAATATGTATTTCGCTCAGCAATGATTGAGGGGAGTCAAGAGGTTGCAAATGAGCCATGTAGGTGTAGATCGGCTTGGACTTTGCGAGATTGCTGGCTGGTCACTTTTCGTTGCCTCGAAGATGGTGAGATGCTCGAACATTTTTTGTGCTTCTGCTCCGCTTTCACAGGGATAAGGTAACGAAGCCTAGAATAGTGATGAGTTTGGAGGTTTTTATGAGATGGTAAAAGTAATCTCGGGTTAACCGCTATCAGAAAAAGCGTTGCGTATCTATCTTATCCGGATTTTGATTTGAAATCGAATCTGCGAGCTTCCGAGTTGTTGTTCTCTAGTTCTCTTAGTTCGCTATTCGTTTTCACCACAATACTATAACATGCAGCTCTAACCAAGCGGTAATTGAAAATATGTAAGTAGAAACCGCCTTCTAGTACATTTATGCATTTTCTTGTAGTTTCAACCGCCATGCCTTTTTGATTTCTACCTACCACTTTTTATTCTACTTTACCTGCATTGGCATTGAAACTTAAGTGAAGTGCATTACTTTATGCGAACTTAGAGGTTGGCAATGCTATTGCATGTGGTTCAGAAATTTTTTATGAACTTGCATACTTTTTTAGTTTTGAAGTGTTTTTTTCTTTCAAACATAAATATTTCGGTTATTATTTCTTATTTGCGTTCAAACTTTTGTCGGTATACTTGTATTTGCATTCTTTCACTTCCAAGCTTCCCCAGGTATGCTTTGTAGTTAGAAAGCAATGAAAAAAAAAGAAATTTAAACTTAGCCAGCAAACAATTCAAATATTACTAGTCTTTTGATGTATATATATAAATAAATAACAATAAGAAGTCGTTCAAGGTACATAAATCTTAAATATTGATATTACAAAGAATTTTTGCAAATTGGTTTCTAAAATTAATATGATATCAAATACATACATACATACAGACATATGTATATGTACTACATATATTATATGTACATACTGTGTATTTTTAATTGTTTACATTCATTTGCTTTCCATTAAAGTGAAAGTGCTCAGAGAGAAAAGTTTGTGCTGGCATTTTATATGGATTGGACAATTATTTAAAAAGCTATGAAGGAAAGAGATTTTTCTCTTTTATTTGATACCCATATGTCATTCTAAATATGTATTACTGAGTTTTTAATTAATATTTTCAATTAATCATCTCTTCGAAATTTTAAAGTCCTTAAAAAAAAATAATAATAAAAATACTGACGCTAGAGAAAAAAATAACCAAACGCAGTTTTACTATTTTTGGCAATTAATTTTGGGTATTTATTGATGTAATGTTCGGCCTTTGGCTTGTAGGCGACCTTAAAAAAAAAATTGTCTAATAAAGCTTTCTCGAAACACTTTTCGTTCGGTACCCGACTTCAAAAAAAGGAGGAGGTTATCAATTCGTCGGAATATTTTTCTTTTTTATGTATGTTACCACTTTGGACCACGTCAACCGATTCTTTTTGCATCGGAAAGGTAGTGTCTCACAGATGGTCCCGTACCAATTTGGTTTAGATACGATCATTGGATCATGAAAAAATTAACGGTACTCCTAAATTTTTATATGAGAATTGAAGTCGGTTTTGTTTTATGCTTAAAAAATTACGTGTTAGTTTTAACATTTTAGAGAGGTGACAACCCTATTGAAAAACATTTCCAAATCAAAGATTTCTCAAATACTTAACTTTCGTTTGAAGCCCCCATTGTAATACACTTGTGTCTCTTTTTATTATATTTTTAAGATACAAAATCTTGAAAGTGTTACTAGCGTATGTTAATTTCAGAAAAATGTCATTTCGTATCTTTCCAGATTCCAGATCTACACTTTAATGAAGATCTAAAACGCCATTTGTCTTATAAATAAGGTGAGTTGAAAATTGTATACGTAAAGAAGTATTTATGAACTAATGTACACACTAAAAGTATGTTCAGACAGGCCGCTAATCGAGCAATTAGCCAAGGTGGCTCGATTAAGACGCTAACAAAAAAAAGCTCGATTAACCATAAAAATTTTGACTTTGCGGTATGTTTATTGAACAAATAGCACTTAGCCGGAAGCTCCTTACATTAAATATCGATTTATAAAACTAGCCTGAAATGGGAGTGCTTTATAAAAGAGGGAATCGTTTTGATATATGACAGTTTTTACTTTGTAGCGTAAAATTTGGACAAACCCACTTACACGGGTTTGTACTTTAAACGACGATTTAAGTTATTAAAGAGATCTACATACATGTGTACATATATACATACACACATACTTCTGTTTATGGAGTATGAATTAAAAAACATGCAGACATACATTCTACTAACAAAAGCGTCTTTCTATGAATATACCCATCGATAATATTAAACATGCAAACATAATAAAACTTTAAGCCATTCATTCATAGATACACAGCAGAAAAAAAGAGATTGTATGGCATCAACAAATTATTGAAATCAATTCATAGCTTAGCTCTAAATCGAGTTATAAAGGCAAAAGGAAAAAAATAACAAAATAAAAGGATTACCTTATAACACAAACACACACACACACACACATACACAAACACACACACACACCCACACCCACACAAACAAGTGCGTCGTTAAAGGATATGCGGACAAAAGCGCATTCAATGCTTATAGAAAAAGATGGAAACAACAGAAAACGTATAATGGAATAGAAAGTGCGGTAACGCCGAAGGATCGAAAAAAAAGGTTCAAAATCGGCCATTATGAACATTTGTGTAAGCTTTGCTTTGGTTTATTTTATTTTGCTGTGCCATTTCTGCTTTTTAATAGAACGGATAGAATACAATAAATGCATTCAACTATGTAGAAATATTGTTAAGCGAGCTGATACACATATAACCATATTTATATACATATTAACAAGTATGTATGTAGGTTGCCAGGTGTCTAAAAGCCTATTTAAAAGCCAGTGGAAAAATATTTGCAGAGTGATAAGCTGGCATAGCAGTCTTTGTTGGTTGGTTTTTAGCCAAGGAACATTTCCAAGAACCGACCCTATCGCTTTCACTAAAATGAATGAATGAATATTCATCGAAGGTTGTCTGCTGTCTGTCTCTCTCTCTCTCTCTCTCTCTCTCTCACCCATACGGCGCTTTCAATCCAAGCAACAAAGGTCAATTGGTGGCAAACGGACGGACGAACAATCATCATTATCGTTTGCACACGCTGTCAACAACGGCGCTAAGTTTGCATCTTTATTGCTTTCAGGTTGTTGTTGCTTTTTGCTTGCGTACAGCTCTGCAACAATTCTACGAAATTTGCGACCGGAAAATGTAATTTTCAAATGTGTCGAACACGAAAAATTTTGAGTTTAGACCATGGACTTGCCGCAGCAACCCTTTTCAATGCTTGTAAAGCGCATACATACATACATATATACAGACACAGTTATATCAATTTATTGTGTCTACATAATTAAGTAAAAAACGTGTTCTTCCTTCCATTTATAGGCCTTTTGTTACCTTCCAAGAATATCTGCTACGCTATTTGTTTGTTTAGCGCTGGCGGCCTACTTATTCAAGAAATAAATAAACAAAAAAAACTGACAAATTTAAACAAACGTGAAATGATATTCGTTTTGTATACAGAGATTGCAATATTTAACTAAATACAGTCATCGTTAATTGAAATGGAAATAATTCTTTGAGATTTTGAAGTATGTGTGCCGGACAGACAGACATGTATACATTTATCTCAAAGATCTAATTCCAAAAATTATTTAAAAAATTCAGAAAATTAGATAAATAGTAAGAATCAGAACGAGAAAATTCTGTAGAATTAAAAACCATTAACACTTTTTGGTTCACAAGGACGAATAGGTATTGAAAATGTCTTTTTAATTAGTTTTATTTTTTAAGCGAATAAAGTTAGAAGGACCAAATTCGCAAATGTGGTCGAGTGCATATTAGACCTTATCAAATAATTTTTTCGAAAATAATTATTGTAAATTTTCAAGGATATTCAATGATAAAATGTTTAAAAAGCATTTTCAATACCTAATCGTTCGTATGCACCAAAAATTTAATCGGCTTAATTCTACAGAATTTTCTCTTTAATTTGATAGTCATACGTTTTTTTTTTTACAATGCAGAAAATTGTTAAAATAATTCCAATTTTAAAATTTCAAAGTCCTTTAAAAAAATCCTGACGTCAGAGACAAAAAATAAAAACGTAGTTTTACTATATTTGGAATATATAAAATATTTTATGTGTAAAATTTACTGCCGCGCGGTGTAATAATAGAGGCGCTTACACACATGTAAGTGTTTGGCCGAGCTTCTCCACCGATTTGTGGCGTGCGCCTTGATATTGTCACACAGAGGGAGGGGAGGGAGCTACAGTTTTACGCCGACTCCGAACGGCGATTGTATTTTCATGAGAAGCTGTTTTTTCAGCGAAGAAATAAATTCGGCGGTTTGCCATTGCCTGCCGAGGTGCGATCGCTATTAGAAATTTTAATTTTTTAATTTTTTAATTTTATTTTAATCACTATACCACAGCGGCCCCGCCAGTATTGAATATACTTGTGGATAAATACGGCCATTTTTTACTTATTCTACGCCCAATTTACTAATTTCATTTGGCCTATACACCGATATTTACACACATTTAATGTGCTAAAAATTGCAGCAATTTTACTGTTGTACATACTTCTTCAAAACGCCATTAAGTCGAAATTGCATTATGTACCATACGTTGGATGTACGTACATAAGTGTGTAAATAAGTACAACGTGTGGCATGAGTAACATAAATTTGAATCAAAAACACGTTTACTATTTTTAGGCGCACTCGTAAATGACAAATTCGTGTTATATCGTGACATTTTCCATCAACTCACAACAAACATGCCCGCACAAATGAAGGCATCCATCCGCAAGTCGTACATTTGCCTTCGTGTAAATATTTGCATGTCAGCCAGCGAGTAATTTGAATTATGTCGCACACGACAGGCCAACATCGCGATAAACATGGCGTATACGTAACAATGAAAGGTTTATTATTTTTAGTGTTTCTTTTTTTGTTTTTATAATTTTGTTGAGTGCAATTTTCGCCCATTCACATGTGCTTTAATATGCTGCTGCATGCAATGGCATTTTAGCTTTTGCAGAGCTTTCTTTTTGTACAAGTTGAGAAAATGTCCATTAAATTGCTGTCATCAAATATTTATGTTATATTTTACAGTTACAACAATAAAGTTTCAAAATTGACTTTTATATAATTTATATTGTTGTCACAATGTCGGGAAGCCAAAACTTGCGTGGTTGGTAGATTACTGCTCGGTTGTATAACAATTTGTTGGTTCTTTTAAAGTAATGTTGATTTTATAAGCTTTTATTTAATTTGCTATGTCAATGTTTGCAAGCAATTCTTAACCCACTTCCTGCTGACCTAGAGACTTGAAACTTGAAATTAAGCTCAGAATAGTGCACGACACTCTTCTAAAGTATGCTATGCAGTCGCGTTATCCGATCGCGATTATCCCCGTAGCCTTTTTCTCTAACCGAGCAAGAGCAGTGAGTGCCGCATTCGGATATCCGATCGGCTATCCGGTAGACTGCTGGCCTTAAGAAATTTCACAATTATCCAATACGTAATTAAGAATACAAAATTTCTCCTCTGAAATCCAAGTTATAAAATAATCCTGTATTAAAAAGATAACTTTTTCGTCTGCAACCCTAATTTATCGATTATTTTTGGTAAATAGATGGAAAAAGCCAAAGATAAAAGATAAACAACAATGAACGCCACTCAGCAAAAATTTGATCCTTTTGAATGCTTACATATCATCCCGCTTCCCACATCGTCACCTAATGCTTCACTGTTGCAATATTTTGTGGCCCACGTTTCAAAATTGTTTTTTTTTCTGACGTCAATCAAGCTAAAAACTGGGTTGAACTATTTCGAAAATATAAATCTGTTAGCAAGGAAAAAACCACTTGAATCATATGAAAAAGGTGGAACTCTAGTGAAAGCTTCTGTTGACGAGCGAGCTCACCAGGACAACGCTTTGAGGAAATTGCCAACGGCTCCTGTTTTAGTGATGTGGAACGAAACGATGCGTAGACCAGGCAGCGACCGTACAATAAAAAAGGCAAAGATTTAGAAATGGAGAAATATATAAGCTACCCCTTACGCCCAGACAAGAAGTTTCTTTAATTTGGTGGAAGCATAGTCGCAAAGAATTTACAAATTTGTTTACTCTGGCAATGAAGTATCTCTGCGCACAACCTTCCTCAGTGAACTCAGAAAGAGTGTTCAGTGCATTGGATAGCATTTATGTTGCAAATAAAAATAGGTTGTTGCCCGATAATGCGGAAGTGCTTCATTTCATAATGAAAACTATAAAAATTTGCATCTTTAAGTACTAAATAGATACTATTAAATATGATTATAAAAATACAAAATAAAAAAATCTGAACTAGATATTTAAATTGAAGCTTCAATAATACTGCCTAAAATCCGGCCGGATTGTCGGATAACAGAAAATCCCGGATATCTACCGGGTTTCCGGCACATCCATAATCGGGACTATTTCGATATTTTCGTTACATTTATTGTTCTTGTTATCGATATTGTTTTCGATATACTTATCGATATTGTTATCGACATAATAATCGATTTTATCATCGACATATTTATGGACATCTTAATCGATACTATTACCGATATAATAATCTATTCTGTTATCGATATTTTTATCGATTTTGATATCGAAATTTTTATTGATTTTGTATCAATGGTTCTATCGATCTTATTATCCATATTTTTATCTATTTTATTATCGATATTTTTATCGATCCTACTATCGACTAACTAATCTATCTTGTTATCGATATCGTTATAGG